AATATTTCCTATATGTACTTATACGTGAGGGTGGTGGTTGGATTGCGGACACCCAAATGATAGGATTGGCTAGGATTGGCTATGTGGTCCGGGTTTTTTGGTTTTACCCGAAATTGGACCGTATAACTCGGACCGAGACCGGATCGGGACCGGATGCTAAGCAATCCAATCCAATCCAATTTTTGGGCTTAGATTTGAGATAAAAAAAACCGTTCGGGACCGGATCGAAAACTGGTTAAAGATCGGATAAGAGAGCTTCACACCCAAAACTTAAGGATAATTTGCATAAAACGGTCACAAACATTTGCACTTAGTACAAAAGTTAACCAACTCCTCACCCTTTCAGGCCTTAGGCCACTCAAATCCCCACAAGCTCAATATAAAATCAAGACCGAATTGGGAGCGGAACGGGTCAAGACCGGACTGTATCCAATCTAATCTTTGGTTCTTATATTTTCAAAAAAACCGGACAGGATCGTATAGCCACCCCTAAGATTGGCAATGGATCGAATCGGGCCAGATTATGGCTATCCAATATCCACCCATCTAAATTTCGGGCAGGTATCGCGTGGGTATCATATGATAGATGGATAACATATCTCTCATCATATCCATGGATATTGGGCGGGTATCGTTGTACCTATGGATATTGGTCAATCCAAATCACCTACCTCGTAAATAATGAAAATTTTAACAGGTAAACCAAATGCAAAGTGCAGAAATTGGAAATCCTAAGAACAATTTCAGCGAGGAAGGAAACATGTTCCTTCTTTCAATTGTTTGCAACAAAGAAAGAACAAACATTCATCAAGACATGCACCTTAGCTTAACCTATGGGAAGATAAAAACCGGAATCAAGAACTTCAGCTGAAACCGGAAAGTGGAAACGACTCACCATACCTACATTACATGACAAATTCAAGACCAAGCATAATTCTGATGACTTGAATAACATAAAGCAACTTAAATGTCTGAGTACAACACATATATAAAAGGCCATGAATAATAGAACACTCACAAGAGCTCATTTTATAGGATGACAACTGGAGCTTGTTTTCTAAGCACGTAGAAATTTCAAGAGAAAATCAAATGTGCAATCACTCAGATTAAGATGTTAATTGTCGCGAGGGAGAGAATGCAAGGGGATGCCGGAGAGTGATCGGGTCAGTAACCAATAGACCAATAATCATGCATCACATTAGTGCTCCTGCTTTCTCCTGTAAAGTCTTTAATTTTCACTCTTGAATCTTTAACGGATGATTTCTCACTCGTTTTTTGTTTTAAGTTGGAATTTAATTTTTTTTGCACCGTTAGATCAGATTAATTGTGCTCTTCAAAATGATATTCACTTTGATATATTTTTGGAACAAAAAAATTGAGCCATTTTTTATCAGTCTATACCATATGGTATTGACGGTTATTGACTGGTATTGAAATAAGAGCAAACCATAGTATGAACATACCAAGAATGTAGGATGGTTGAATACATGATAGTAGTAGTGTCATTTACGACTTTCAACATTGTGTACCACAAGATACCACATCGTACCAGGGTGGTATTGTGTGGTATTTTTTGGTCCTGTAGTTTGTTCACCCATAAATTTGTAGATCCAATATATCATGATTAACTCGTTCTTTCTGTGCAATTTTTTTCAAAAACGACTTAAAAAGAAGAACATACTATATAGTATGCAGTTGGTAACTAGAGGCATGAAAAAAAATTTCTCAAAAAATATTGAAAATGGATCTCATTTTATAGAGCACAACGAATTCATTCCATATGTGCAAAAAAAAAAATTTGAAATTCGAGTTAAAACGAAAAAGATATGAGACGATTAAGAAAACAAGTGGAAAAAATGTCTTTAATTCTCCAACTTTAGATCTAGATTTTCTGGACCCACTTAAAAGGAAGTGTCCAGATTTAGTTACTAATAGGTGCATAACCATGGGTTATGCACCGTATACGGAGCCGGGACGCCGGGATGGGGGTTTAGGGATTAACAATATACCGGGCGAGTTTGGGGCAGATATAATAATATCCATACCCGACTCATGCCCGAGAATTTGAAGTTGGGGATTCGCTCGAGCGCGACCCGAATCTTGTCAAGATGAGTTTTACCTGCATTGACCGGTTCGAGTTTGGGTGAATACCCGATCTGACGGGTTTTCTTGCCAACCCTACCGAATGATTCACACCTTATTTTCACAGGACAGAAAATTTTCCTTGTTTATACTATAATATATTCGTCATATTTCCTTATATTTCACACACTCACCAACCACTTCTAAATGCAAAAACTATTTTTTTTGAACTACTATTATTCATTGCAATGTTGTGTATATATATTGGGATGTGAATTACAAACTATTAATTAAATTGAAGTTGAAAAATGCATAAGTTTTCTCCACGTTATTGGTTGATGGAGTAATGAAAAATTTGATGCAAATACTATACAGATCCACAGGAGACAAAGTGAAAAGTGTTTAAATTTCTATAGTCTTACTAATGCGAGAAACTTATAATAAATGGTAGTCAAATTTCTAAACAAACATGCAAATCAACCAAAACCCCCCATTTCCACAACCAATGTTGCAATTTCAAGCCACGAACTTTCAATCACAACAATATCAACTGCAAGGTGGGCAAGGGTATTAACAACAACAACAACATCCCGACAAGATCTCCAAGCTCGAAGATCTTGTGGCCACCTTTGTAAGTTCGAGTTTTCAGAAGATTGAGAGGTTTATAGAAGTTGCTTAAGCAAGTTTTCCTCAGTTGAGGCAGGACTTAGAAGCCATCAAGTGAGTCTTCTAAACTTTGAGACCCAAATTGACAATCTCGTCGAAGTCCGCACTGAGATACCTCAATGAGCCCTACCTTCCCAAACCTTTGCAAATGGCCAAAGTCTTCGGAGGAGGTACTTGGAAGCTTGGCGAAGAGTTGTCGTCGATGGTAAAAACATTGCCAAATCTCCCCAAAACTTGGTCGAAGGGGCGCCTAAGGATGGGGAGCATGGGAATGTGGTTTGTTTGGAATTTGGGCACCCGTAAGTAGATCAGATCTTAAAAAAGACCATCGAAGACGATGTTTTGCGGCGAGATTTTTTGCTTTTCCGGGGACAAATGAACTTCACGTCAGAGGTTTTCTGCTTTTCTGGTGACGAATGAACTTCACGTTTGATGTGAAGTTCACGCCCTTTATATACACCCCGAGGGGAGAGATCATCGTTTCTATGTTATTTTCACAATCTTAGGTTGTGAACATAACACAAAGCGTGATCTCAGCTCAAAACGGTGAGTGTTGGGTCGACATCACAGTGGAGTTAATTATCACTGGCTTAGCCAGTGAAAGTTACAAAGAAACCAAGAAGTGTGAAAATGGACATAAACCTTAGTGCATCTCGCATGCAGTGTGATTTTCAAGGTCTTGAAGCCATGAAAATCACACTTAAACCGTGTCGTGCGCTAAAACCTTAGATTTTTGGCTCATACCGCTTGCCTCTCATGCGAGAACACTCATTTTGAGACATTAATGGAGCATCTTTTGCAAAAAAATTAGATTCCAAAATTGGGGTGAGTCTCACACACATGTCTAACCTCGGTAGCAAGCAGTACCCACACAACAAGATAAAATGAAGTAAACCACTCATGACCAATAACCTCCGCAGTGCCACACTGCTCATTATAATGCACACCATAACAACGTCAAACTTTTCAAAGCATAGTGAGTAGGATGGGGCAAAGTTATCGAATCATTGGCGAGTGAAAGGCGGACTGGAAATTTGACTAGTTTTGGGAGAGAGATAGAACTATCACAAGGAATAGACAAGCACGCACAAACACAAACTCACCAAAGGTGAGGTTATTACACAAGCAAACTATTTATAGTTCACACAAAAAGAAAATGAACTAAGTAGTTGAAAGTCAATGGGGAGGAAAACAAGAAGGAAGGGCAACATGCTGTTGAAGGTGGACCTTGCGAAGGCCTATGACAGAGTCAGTTGGAGGTTCCTTGAAGAGACCATGGTGGCTGCCCATCTCCCTGCCAACTTCATCGTACTAGTTATGGCCTGTGTGACTACTACAAGTTATCAAGTGCTTTGGAATAGGGGCGAGACTGACTGTTTCACCCCTACCTAAGGACTAAGACATGAATGTCCCTTACCTCCCTACTTTTTCACTTTGTGTATTGAGAGATTTAGTCATAGTATTTTGTATGAGGTCAATGAAGGGAGGTGGTAGCCAATGAAGCTATCTCCTGGAGGCCCTCCCTTGTCCCATTTATTTTTTGCCGATGACTTAGTTCTCTTCGCAGAAGCTAACCCCCTGCATGCTGGTGTGGTCATGAACTACTTGAAGACTTTTTGTTGTGCCTCTGTGGAACTGGTCAGTAGGGAGAAGTCTAGGGTGTTTTCTCTAAAAATGTTAAGAAGCCTACTAGACAGGAAATTTGTGGTAGACTTGGAATACAAGAAACTCATGACCTTGGCAAGTACCTTGGGGTCCCTGTTTTGCATGGTAGGTTAACCAGGAATACCTACAAGTACATCCTGGATAGGATGGATCAGAAACTGACGACCTCGAAAGCCAAGACTCTCTCTTTGGCAGGAAGAGTCACCCTGGCAAGTGTTGTTTTGAATGTCATCCCCACCTATGGGATACAAACAACCTTCATTCCCCTGTCTGTGTGTGATCTGATTGATAGGAAGGTTAGGGGGTTTGTTTGGGGTTCACAGGAAGGAAAAAGAAAGGGCCACCTTGTGGGATGGGATACAATCTGTAAACCCAAAGCACAAGGAGGGTTGTGACTTAAATCTGGCCGCTGTCTCAACATGTCTTTCATGATAAAGTTGGCCTGACAGGTGTTTAATAAGGAAAATGAGCTATGGGTCAAGGTTTTGCAGGGGAAATATTTCAACCACAAAGATGGAGAGGTTGTCTCAGTGAAGAAATCAAACCACTCCAACCTCTAGAGAGCCATAGTGAAGGCGATGCCATTAATGAAGGAGGCCTCGTGCTGGAGCATACGAGATGGAAGGGACACAAGCTTCTGGAATCAGCCATGGCTTGACTGTGGAGTTCTGCTCAGTGACCATCTTCTGCAGGACATCAATGAGGAAGAGAGCAGCACGAATGTGGCAGAGTGGGTGACTGAGGAAGATGAGTGGAGGTGGGGAAGGTTAAAGGAACTCCTACCTGATGACATCCTTATGTTGATTGCAAGTAAAATCACCCCTAACCCGGAGCTAGAGGACAAGATGATTTGGGGGCTTGAAAAAGATGGGAGATTCCGCCTGAAATCAGCGTACAATCTAGTTGTGAACATTAACAGCGAGGGAGAGTCACCAAGATGGAAGGCGATCCGGCAATGGAGAGGCCCCAACAGAGTCAAGCACTTCCTCTGGCTGGCTAGACACAAGAGACTTTTTAGCAACAAGGAGAGAACAAAACGGAAGATCACCAGAGATGAAGAGGAATTGGTGGAACATATTTTGAGAAGCTGCACTAAGGCTAAGCTTATGTGGGGCAGATTCAAGGAGAAGATCATGGTGAAAGATCACAACATCCCTTTCCAGAACTGGCTTCTCTCAAACCTCAAGAACGAGAAGTCAGGGGTGGACTTTGGGATCATCTGCTGGATGCTGTAAAAATAAAGAAACGTGGAGGTCATGGAAGGAGTTCCCTTTTTTGAGCAAGGACTGCCGTGAAAAATTAAAGCTTGGCTTAACATTGTTGAGCAAGCCAGAATCCGAGAAAAGAAGACACGGTCAACGCCGTCCTCCCTCAAACGAAGTCAACAGGTTGGATGGATACCCCCGCCGGAAGGGTGGGTGCAAATCCAAACCGATGGATCAATCCTTTCCCCGGAAGAACATGTTGCTGCAGGAGGGCTCATTCGTGATTGTGAAGGCAGGTGCAAAGAAGCGTTCGTGTGCAAATTGGGTATCTGCTTAATCACTAGTGCGGAGCTGAAAGGCACCGTGGAAGGGTTGAAAATTGCATGGAACAAAGGCTACATGAGAGTCCATTTGAACATGGATTCCTCTACTGCAATTGCAATCATCAAGAACCGTGAGGACGATGAACATCGACATGGTCATATTGCTCATCAGTTTCACTACCTTCTTAACCTTGATTGGATTGTTGTTATTTCTCATGTTTTTAGGGAGGCTAATTTTGTTGCTAATTACTTAGCAGATAGGGGACACTTTGTTGATTTTGGCACACATCACTTCAATGTGTGTGACCCGGGTCTCGGGCAATGGTTGTACCATGACATCATGGGAGTGTCCTATGATCGTTTAATTAGTTATACGAATTAGACGCTTGGCGTCGTCTTTCTTCCAAGAAAAGAAGAAAGTTAAACATATGAAAAGAACAAAACCAAAGTGTAGAGTCAAGGGGGAGAAAATGGAGTGGTTGTACTGTTCCAACGTGACACTCAAGAATGGTGGTCATCATCATGGTGACGAGGCTCCTAGTGTGGAGGAGAAGGCTGCTAGTACGGGTCCTGGTAATAGAGACCCTGAGCATGGAGGAGCTCCTCCTTGATGCAGTGAGAATGATTCCATGCATCTCGTCTTAGTCGAGCCGAGCTAATAGATCCATGTAGTGTCCCTAAAAAGTTTTGACACGAGCCTCAAGATTTTTCGAGGAAGAGGGGCCAACACTGGATGATGATGTAGAAGCGTGGGTATGACTACATTGGTGTGGTGGTGGAGCTCTCTAGGATGGCTCGCCCTGCTCCTCCACTACTTGTTAGACAAGTACGAAAGGCGGAGGCCATCAATGTACTCAATCCCCCACTCAGTAAGGACCATCGTGCAAATGATGGTGTCGATGTCGTAGTACCGCGCCATACGGGTGATGACGAGGCATAGAGGCATGGTATAAAACCTGAAATGTCCTAGAATTAGATAGAAAGAGGTCACCACTAATGACCCGAGGTATAGAGGCTCCCAGGGTCAGCTCATGGTCTGGAGAGCCACGCTCCCTTAGAGGGTCACATGCCTGTAAGCTAGAGCGTTGTGCACTACGGTATGAGTCAGCAACATGCAGAGGATCCTACACTGGGTAATAAGAGAGTAGTCCTCGCATGGACCACTTGGAACCGCTGATCACGGTACTGCTCATGGAAGATCCTCTTGAACGCCCTCTAGGGGTTCTCCATTTGGGTTTACTCCAGCTTAGTCATCGTCATGATGCTCATGTGCAGTTGTAGATACTAAGCCAAGGTGTCCTAAATGATGTTGAGAATGCTAACTCCACAAGACTGCTCGCGTCTGAAGGTGGAGTAGAACTCAACACAGAGCTCTCGAAATATGTGCTCGTCGATTCTAAGAAGCTGCCGCCACTAAGGATGACCAATGATTTTTGAGATAGCAACCTGGCAATGGAGATCCTCGAACATATCCAAATTAGGGAGCTAGTAGGGGGTCAATATCTCCAATCTGCCTCCAAATTTCCTTGGGAAATCTTGAGGGAAAATGTGAGAAACACATTTATTGGGAGTTTCTATTGTTATATTAGGTAGGATAATTATTATTATGATTAGTAGAGATTTAGTCCAATTAGGTTATTCGTTAGGGTTTTCCAGTATTTCCTATATATGTACTTTGGGTTTACGTCATAATCAATCAAGAAGAATATTAAGCAAAGTCTCCCAAACCCTAATCTCTCCTCTCAACTCCTAATTTCTATTCTCTCCTAATCCAAGGCCTCGGCCGATTCCCAATTCTATTCTTTCTCATCTAAATCCCTAATTCTTTCTCTCAAACCCTAAATCCCTAATTATCACGAGTGCCGAAGATCAGTATCGAAAATCCCTAGAAGCGAGGTTCTCACAATTGGTATCAGAGCCTGGTTGCAGGCACTCGTACCAGAACCATGTCGAGACTCGAAGAGCTCTCGGTCAGCGAACTCACAAAGATGTTGAAGTCGAAGCTGGAAGCGCTGTGGAAGAACGAGGTTGCCTCGTCCATGATGCTGTCCGGGAACAATGTGCGGGCAGCCCCATCCAAAGCCGCAGCCGCCGCATCGATGGAGCCGGCGAAGGAAGAAGCGGCAGATCCGCCTACTTGTCGCGGAAATAGCTCGACGCCGGGTGGCAAATTGAAGAAGAGGAAGCCAATGGAGGTCGAGCCACCATCGGAATTTGAGGCAGAGATGAGGATGCAGATGGCGGGAGACGAATGCAATAAGGAAGCGGTGCTGGTTGCTGGTGACGAGGCTGCTTGCGAGATCGGGACGGAGAACAAGAGGAAGGTCGCCGGATCGGGCCTGCCTTCCTTTCGCCTGGGAATGCGCCACCGCCAAAGGATGCGAGGAAAGAAGCAGTGATCCCACCGCCAGACGGTGCTGCCACTTCTCCAAAGCAGGTGGATTCGAATGCGACAGGTAAGGAAGAAGAACCGGGAGTGAGTTCCGATGCGGCAAAGGATTTCCTAAATCCCGTCCTTCCACCGCCGAGGAAACCGCCAGAGGAACAATCATCATCGACCATGGCCCGCGACGCCAACGGACGAGAAGAAGCAGGACCGGGGACGCACAAACTGCTGGACCAGTCGAAATCACGAGTCCAGCCGCCGGCCCAGCCTTGACGGCATCCGACAAGAAGATGGAGACTAGCGCCAATGTCGATCGCCGACCCGAAGTGGAGGCGGAGCAAATTCGATGGGATTCTGCGTTGGCGACACAGCCGATGTGATCTGCTGGAACTACAGTCAAGGCGCCGACGAAGAAGAAGGCGAGGGAGTCGCCACTGGTCAAGAAGAAGGAATCGTCAGAGTCGAAAACGACGGGGAAGAAGAAGATGGAAGTCGAAGCTTCGAGATCGCCTTCCTCATGCCAGGTGGGTCACTCGACGTCGGAGGACAAGGCGGGCAAGAGGGCGCTCGAACTCGAGCCACAGTCGGAGAAGAAGAAGAAACCGCCGGAGAACGAGGCGAAGCAGCTGCCGCCGAAGGAAAAGATGGCGGCGGGGCCGGAAGGGCCGTCGTGCCGTCAGCGGAATGGCGCACCACCGGAGAACGAGCGGAAGAAGACAAAGCCGGAGAAATTGGAGGCGATGGAGGCTCCGGACGTGAGGGTGGCGGCGACCCCTGTGGTGGCCGACGAGGAGGAGAAGCCGCCTACAAAGGAGGAGAAGGTGGAGGGCGGCAGGTTTCCTTCCCCTGCAACCCTAAACCGCCGAAGCTTGGGGCATGCTGGGTTCTCGTCGACCCTAAATGCTAGGTGCTTTGTTGGGCCGAGGAAGAGAGGTGGGCCCATTGGCCGGGGACGTGAGCTGGAGAATGAGAAGGAGAATTTTGTTGGGTCCGACTTAGACCAACCTGACCAGCATCTTGGGCCGAAAACCAATCAGCAGGACGGGCCTAAGGTGGAGTGCAGTTGGGCTTCTCTCTACCCAGTCTTTGGGACGCTCAAGGACAGCCTTACAAGGGCTCTTTTATACATAATTGGGCCAGATCATGCAGAACTTAAATCGAACATGGGATGTTATAAAAGGAAAGAAGACTTGGAGGGAGTTCTTGTGTTGACACACGGGCTTGCAAGGGAGTCAAACCCAAAAGAAGTTAAGAAGAAGAACACCTCATCCTTTCAAGTCATGGTAGGCCGATCCAGGAGTGGAGGAGGAGAAGAGTTATCTGATTCCTATTTCGTGGACTTCGAAAGAGATGACGAAGAACTGTTAAGCTATGGCAAACGTGATATGTGTCACGCGGGTGGACAAGAGACACAGAAAGTTGGAGTTGCACGAGAAGAGTTCCTTCGCGAACTGGAGCGCAATTGGAAACGAAGAAAACGGAAGGTCAAGGAGGTAGAAGTCAACTACAACCTTGAGGTCAAGGTTGTTTCCAAGGGGGATGGATTGTGAGAAACACATTTATTGGGAGTTTCTATTATTATATTAGGTAGGATAATTATTCTTATGATTAGTAGAGATTTAGTCCAATTAGGTTATTCGTTAGGGTTTTCCAGTATTTCCTATATATATGTACTTTGGGTTTACGTCATAATCAATCAAGAAGAATATTAAGCAAAGTCTCCCAAACCCTAATCTCTCCTCTCAACTCCTAATTTCTATTCTCTCCTAATCCAAGGCCTCGGCCGATTCCCAATTCTATTCTTTCTCATCTAAATCCCTAATTCTTTCTCTCAAACCCTAAATCCCTAATTATCACGAGTGCCGAAGATCAGTATCGAGAATCCCTAGAAGCGAGGTTCTCACAGAAAATGAAGGGGAGGCTTGTACTCAGCCACCGGAGGTGGCGTTTGTGAGGCCTTCATATGCACGTCTTCCTTTGTCTCCTTAGACTATTGTTCGATAACCGTTGTAGGGTTTCTTCTTCTTGAGGTACTTTCTTTGGTTCAACCTCTTGAGTCACCTTGCCACTTCAAAGAAAAATGGCATGCAACCCCGCCCTTGGATCTTTGGGGTTTTCTACGGTTTAGGAAGGTAGGGCTCCTTGAGGTCTCTAGGTGAGGACTTCGGCGAGATTATCGATTTGGGTTTCCAAGTTTTGAAGATTCACTTGATGGCTTCTAATTCCCTCCTCAATAGAGATTATAGTACCCCTATCGTCCTTGCTTCATATCCATCTTGTATGGCCTCGTTTGCCATGTCTACAATCAGAAACTGCTCTTCAACTTCAACTTCTTCTTGAACTTCGGTTGACCCTAATTCAACAATCGCTCCCTTGCTACCCTTAGCTCCCTCTCACGTGCAAGTAGTCGGAGAGTCCATATGTTGTTTTCTAGTGGCTCCAAGGGTTCTGGATTGCTCGGGGTCATACACTACCTCCACTCACTCCAAACAACACAAACAAGAGCCAACTAGCAAGGTCTAACATATAATGCAAGGAAAAAAACTAGATTAATAGTGGTTTATTTTTTTCTCAATAATAAACCGTTGTCCCCTGTAACGGCTCCAGAAAAGCTTGACTCGATCATAACTACACTATCAAAGGCCTAGTGGAACCTTCAATCGGTGTAGTGAAGAGCAAGTATTTCTCTAATTATCAAACCCGAGTGGTTTGTGTATCCTTACTCAACAAATCACAAATCATCTAGCGATAGAAAATTTTTATTAATCTATTTTAACTAAACAAACAAGCAAAAAAACAAGTAGTTTGGATTCAAGGGAGAAAGCTTCACTCGGATGATTACCTCCTAGTCATGTGTTGAGTTGATGACATGATACTCTAGTGTGATTTTCAAATTATATATATCGCTAGGAGATCAAAGATAGTTAGGAGTCCCTATTCGAGTTGTCCTAACTCGCCTAATTTCTCTAATCGGAGAGGCGTAACAAACTACTGGATTAGGCAATTAGGGAAACCAAATCCACTTCCTCGGTCGATGAACCAAAACATCATAAAGAAACCAATCACCCTCTTTATTGGGCGCCTTACGGTGATTGAATAGTGATCCAAATTACCCTATGGAGATCTTCTCTTTCTTAGGTTAATTAGCCCCAAAATTGAGGAAATTGATCAAGGAATCTCAATTATCATGATAAATACTAATAAATATACAATCAAACATGCCAA